CCCCAAAACCCCAAAACCCCAAAACCCCAAAACCCCAAAACCCCAAAACCCCAAAACCCCAGTGTTCACCAAGCAAGTTGAGTTGAACCAAATTAATAAAAGTAGAGGCTAGTAAGAATATCATGGTGTAAAAATATCCGATCACAAACAACACTTGAAAGCTTTGCTGTAATCTTCAACCATAAAGACTAAGGCTTTATCCAAACAGTGATGATAGTTTTAATCCTTACTTTGGCTAGTTAAGCTTAAAATTTAGCATGAGAACTTTTAAGAAGACGGTGGAAATTAAAAAAAGATGGCATATTCATAAAAATTTCTACATCTTGTTATTTATTGAGAATGCTGTTATCTGAATTTAAACTACCAGAACCAAATGACGCTCCTAAGTGAGTGTAGGCAGTCTGAACAATATTCATCCTGGTTTATCTCAGAGCAACCAGGTTTTTAATACTTTGGGTTTTCGTATTGGCTGAGAACCTCTTGTCACTTTATCAAAAAATTTCACACTCTTCGAGTCAATACAATATGGAAAATGAGGATTTCGGAATGATGATTTCTTTCATAGGAACAGCTAGAAGGACGTCTTGGCCAACACAAGCCTCTTTAATAATGATATAGTATCCAGGTGCCACTCCATCCAATACAGATTATATTAAGAAGGATCCAAGAGGTGAACAAAGCCAGATTTCTTAGCCCAAGATGTGAAGATTAAACCGATATTCACAAGTAACAGAGAAATTATGAGGGTATACAAGGCAGATATTGGCTTTGTTAATAACATATTATTGTTTTGCAGTGAGCTGAGGCTATTCTTCCATAATTCTAATACCAAATCGGTTCCATTTCTATCAAAATATTGCTACACCTGTTGAGAAAATAGGGCTTAGGTTTCCATTCAACTATTTCCTTAAAGCTTATTGCTAAGTAAGCAATAGTGGACGTTATAATGATGAGCTTAATCCATAAAAGTTCCACTTCCTAAAAATTTGTTGTTCTAAATTTAACAGCTATTTATCATAAAGTTATGATTGACAGGTTGCTTCAAATGGTTATGATAAGAAAAATAACGATAAGGATCCTAAAGGATCTATCTTCACGACCGAATATAAATTTTTATGTAAGAATCATGACTTAATAATCTACAATAAACCTATTTTTCATTGAAAATTATCTATTGCCTAGCATATAATTTGGATTCATTTATGGGTGACTAACAACAACTTGACAGACCCTCATGAGTCATAAATATCTTAAAAGAGTGCTTAAAAATCAAAATAAGAGGTAATGTCACCAAAGAGTATACTTAATATTAGTTTCCTCATTATTGTTCACCTCATTCAACATTTCACATTTAGTTCGAAGTTATTGGTTTATCTCATAATTCTGGGAAACTAATACTGAAGTTTAGAGAAATATAACCTCCTTTTTAGATAACAAAATGGAATAATACACACAATAAGAAAAGGGAAGTATATCTATTCTACAGAATACCCATCAAGCTTATTCCTCTTCCAGCTGTAGAGAAAGATTATAACCTTATTAAGGATGTTCTTACTGTCATTAAGGTTTCAATTTGAAATACATCTAAGATTTTAGAAATTATTAACTGAGCAAAAAGTGGTGAAAATAAACCTACTAAATGAAGTCTAGACTTACTAACAGTTACGGTCTATTAATTATGATTAAAGAACTAAGTGGGACTTCTTCGGAGCATCCAAATCGCATATTTTTGTACTTTTATACTGCAATAACATTCTAATAATAGAAGAGAATTAAATGATAGTTTTAAGTATGAATTATTAATAAATTTTGAGAAATAGCCAATTGGCGACGAGCTGTAGGCTCTGACATATTTCTCAAAGTCATCATCATCCGAGGAGAGTCAATCTTTTGTTTGTTGTTTCATTTTTCCTTCCAAGAATTCGCTTCTGAAGATTTCTTAAATGTAGAAAATACTCTTAATGAGGTGAATTTTTTAACCTTCTTAGTCTTAGTTAATTCATTAGCATTCTTAGCTTCTTTAAGTGCTAATCTGAACTCTGGTTGAGAACTAGCTTTTCAAGAGTGTGACTGTTGGTTTGAATTAATGATACTCGGTTTTTCCAAACTTGGTATTCTCTCTATCTTCTTAATTTCGGATATCCCTCTATTGGAGTTTTGATTTCCCTTATTATTACTAACAAGGATACTCTCTCTGCTGTGCCACTTGTACACATTATTTGTAGATGGAGATTCATTGTAGTCTTCTGAGACGGTTCAATCAGAATCATTCCAAAATTTGTCCGATGCGGTGTTGGAGTTCATAAAACTATTTTATATTTATAATTTTCAATCATGATTATTTAAGTAGGGGTTTTGGGGTTTTGGGGTTTTGGGGTTTTGGGGTTTTGGGGTTTTGGGGTTTTGGGG